TTACTACAACCTGCTACTGGCGCTGGACCAATGAAGTTGACAACGACGACAATGAATAAACCAAAACCTATTGATATAACAAATACTTTAATATCATATAATGTGAATGCAATCAATAGCACATCTGATATGATGAATAAATCCACTATACAATCAAATCGTATAGGTACAGGTATACCTTTAGCATTAATCACACCACCAACTATTCAACACCAATCATATGAACAGAACGGTGTTTTCAATAACAATAACAATTCTCTATATTATCATTCGAATAATAATGTTGAACAGTTACAATCAACTATTTTACCTAATTCAATTATTCCATTCACTAGTAGTAATAATTGTAACTCATTAAATTCTATACCACTTTGTCCAGCAATGTCTAACATGATGAGACCTGTTCATCAACAACCTGTTCCAAATACAATTACATATCAATTATTCCCGACAACATCATCAATTACAATGCCAACAACAATGATTAATCAAAATGTATCAAATTCTAATAATCTAATAAAACCATTATCCAAATGTGACATAGATGATTTATTAAGCTGACAATGAATTTATTATTTTTACAAATGAATAAAACAAAAACACAAGGAATTATTAGTTATTCTCTTTCATATATGTACATATTATCATGTAACTTGAAACATATTCTTAGGTGTAGGTAGATAAGTACGCGGATTTAAATCTCATGGTCTATGTTGCATCAATGCAGCTTTTTCTACTCAGCATGTTATGTATAGGTAGATGATATAGGAAGCTATGATAGCTTCTTCATTACCATCGCCTTCTCAATTCTATTGTGATATTCTTGTGACTGCCCACGTTCTATTTGTATTTTTTTATTAATCTGCTTACTCCCATCATTTTCTCCTACTCTATGTCTGTATTTGGTTTGTGTCGGTATGTGAAGTGTTAATGTCTTTCAAATGTGGTTTTGTTTTGTTTTAATCTTCTTTTGTGAAAAATGCAATACTTGATTTTTTTCAAATAATTATTTGCACGGTGACCTAGTTTGTTTACTTATTATCAAATAATATCTTACATTGTCCTTTGATTCGAAATTGTTTTGGTCAAATATATGTTATCTTGTAGAGGTTAATTTCTCTATATCTGACCCCAGTAAACAGTATCCCGTTAACTAATTATTTACGCAGGCCATGGTAATCTCCTTACTAGGAGAATGAATTTACTTGAGATTATTCAAAAGCGAGTACACCAGTTGTAAAGATTGTATATTGTTTATGATTAGTAAAAATCCACTAGCATACAGGGAAGCGAGTGTGAGATTATTGAAAAAACCGATTGTGAATAAATTACTGATAGTCTGTGTTTACAACCAATAAGAGAATAGATAAAAATTGATATGCAAACATGCGCTCAATCCGAGTCGCACATAATTTTACATAGTGGATTAAATATCTAAATTACAGCGAGTAGACAAATAATAGTTCAATGGGCTTACTATAATCTCTTACACAAATCATAAGGTAGAATTTTGTAAAATACAACCCTAATAGAAGAGAGCTTTCTTTCCTCGTTTATAAATTTAAATATGGTGATAAATAAATAAGTATCGTTTGTCCGTAAAGTATGAAATCGAATTTAATTAAAAGAAACCTTGACAAAACTGGGGGACTAGACAGCTGTTTTGTGTTTATTCACAGACTCATTAGCAGTGTATATACAAAAATAGGTTCATCAGACCTTAACCACGACATCATAATTAGACAATTCAATTTTTTCCTGTTAGATAACTAAATTAGAGTTGGAATACCAACCACACTGCACTGAGGATTAGAATTCAGATAATCTAATTCAAAGTACACAGACAATTTGTAATACTCCTAAAAGAAAATATTCCGTTAAGCTTGTACTTGCCGAGTTGTAATTCGAATCACTGATAAAAATTTATATTCAAAAGGGATCCCAACTTAACAGATGCCGTCTACCTCCATAACTGCGCTATAGTTTTATCTCACTGTATACTCAACAGGTTTCTCATTTACCAGACCCCACTGATCTTCCGAAGGTTCTCACGTTTGCATTTACATCGCAAAACATCTAAACGGAGGATTATAGATGTATCTTACACATGGTCAAAATGTGACTTGTAACGTATAACCCGGGACGTATGTACATTAATTCAAGTTGTCATACTATACCAACACAGCGAGATGAGATTATCAGCCCTAACCCCATGGTACAACGATATCGGTAACCGTAGGAAAGATCAGGTACTAAAATATAAGCTTTCAGGAATTGCTTATTTACATTTATTTGAACACATAAATATTGGTACAAGGGGCACCAGATACATATGCGCCACACAATAATAATGAGAATGGAAAGACATAAATAATGTAAGGTGCACAAGGAACAATAACGACCACAAATTAATGTATGGTAGTGAAATAATAATGGGGGAAACAAAAAAGTACAAGAAATAATTCTTCCAGTTAAATAAGTTACAGTCACTTTATGAAAAAAGGCAAAAGAAGGTTGTAGCGGGATCGCCACTGGCTTCTATTCTGAGCCATATCTGATAAGGTCTCTAGCCACTGTGTTGCATCATCTCTCGGACCCCAACCAGGGAGTCATGAAGGGCCAACAGGAGCCAGTCTTGTGCAGCTTTCATACCCCAACACCATGTCATACACTGACCACCTCTCCGCTTTTTCCAACCAGTCCCAGATTCGCAAATAATGCACGACGAGGAACCCTCTGGGACGACATTCATAGAACATGTCCAAGCCACCGAAGTCCATGTTTTAAGATAGTGACACTAATTGGATTATCGTCTCTGAGCCCGAACACACGATACCGAACCTCTGCATTGCTAACATGGTGTTGTAACAGCAATCCTTCAGAGGCAAAGATAATCAAACACAAAGTCGTCTAACATCCTCAACTCGGAGAAGCCAGGTTTCACAAGCATAGAGCAAAACTGCTCTCACCGACGCATTGTACATCCGACCGTTTACAGCCAGACTAACATCACGAAGGCGCCAAAGATGGCCTAGATTGGCATAAGCCGCTCTGGTTTTCATTTTACGTGCATTGATCTCATCACTCACGCCACCACCGGCACTTATGCAGCTACCTAGATACACGGACTTCTCGACTACTTCTATCTGTTCACCATCCAGGGTGAGTACAGTATTAGAATCCTGTCAGTCTTGTAAACGTATGACAGTGTTCTAAAATTTGACGGAGGGTGAAGATATGACCAATACATCCTCGACCAGAACCAAAACCAACATGCTCCTCACGAGTCAATCTTTCTCGGGTTTTGAACAACCTACGAAGCATGACAGAAGAAAATAGTTTGGACGCGATCGGAAGTAGACTTCTCCCCGATATTTGTTACAGAAACGATGTGAACCCTTTCTAAAGATGGGAACAACTATCGACTCATTCAATGATGTTGGTACATATGTCCCAGACCTTTGTAAACAACGTCGTCAGTCGCCTAGTAAGAAAGTCACCACCATCTTTAAAAAGAACCGGAAGTCATCTGGGCCCGGTGATTTGTAACGCTTCAAGAGCGGTCCAAGGCGCCAGATTCAAGTGTTCTGGTCCGCGATGTGTGCGTGAGTTCGGATTCGACCCCCAACACATACATGTCGTCGCGGTGGTCTAGTGGTTAGGTCATCGGGTTGTGGCCGCGCTAACGCACGTTCGAGTCCTTACAGCGACACCTATGCCCTGATACGGCCGAGAGTGGGGAGAGTCAACTCCCCCTCCCGAAATGCTCTCACATGGCCTCGCGTATACAGCTACTGCCACGAAAGTCCTACTCACTGACTTCTCCCACCATTACTGTTGTTTACGTAATTGAGAGGACGAAAAGCGAATGTTCGGTGCTTTAACCGGGTTAGTGGACACGGAGAGTTTACCTTGGGGAGTTGGAAAACCCTAATTCCAAACCAATGGTGAATATAGGCTCCAAGGTCCTGAAGGAACACATGATGTATGCGCCTATTGTTGGTCACCGGCTACCATGAGACTGCATCTCCTGACGTTGCTCCACTGCCTTGTGGATCAGATCTTTAGATCGAAGGCTCTGAGTGTGGCCCCCTAAGAAAACCACCTGGGCAATATCATAGGCCTCACACAAATCTGATGAGATGACAATTATTTCAGGAATTAGGATCTAAAATACGATAGTGAATACATTTACGTCGTTGCGGTCAATTCTGAAACATATCATCCATCCACAGGCTGAGGATACATCGCAGAACAGCTAATTACCTCGCAAACTAGTATAATACATCAACAACGCCTGTTTTCTAGTCCACATACATAAGCACTGGAGCCAACTGCTTGGTACGGCCGAGGGTAGAGTACGCTCACCCTCCAAATGCTCTTACATGCTCACGCGCCCGGGCAGTACACAAATCCAATGAAGTGCGGCGCACATGCATCCTGTGCCAGTTTCTCACATGTGTTAAAGTAAATAATGGCAACCCCATATACTCTGTTCTTGACAGCTACTAAATACCTCCAAATAAAAGACCGGGAAGATCACTGCGCAGAGGACGGAAACGACACTTCACATGTTAGCATAACCCTAATCGAGCTTCCTGATTTGTTCAGACGTGAGCCGATTGATGGGAATGAGACTCGTAAAGTAGGAAACTGACGAAACTTATGCTAGGCCTACACACCTATGTCATGACATGAAACCTAATATTTTCGGCTAAATACAACCACAAAGCCATAAAAATGAAATCAGCCGAAGTCGCTTGGTCGGGCTACATATCCTGGTAAAACAGTAGATAAATAAACACATTGCAGTCTTCTCAAGTCAAATTATATGCAGAAACAGTTTAATATACGGCAGATCGCGTAATACTCACACATGTTAACTAACAAATTCCTGGATCTCGTCGCATAATAACGTGGACTTGGTCGTACACTTCTATACGCGAAATGCGACAACCTTTATAAGCGCTGTAGAGCTGTGAAAGCATAACGATAATAATCAAATCAATTATGTATATTTGAGGGAAAATAAGGGACTTTGAACAATTGGAATATCTACCAAAATTAACCAACTACAATGTAAAAAATATCGCCAAAATGCAAAAGATGTGTAGTTCGCCACTACATCATACCACCCATGCCACCCATACCTCCCATCCCACCCATTCCTGCAGCGTTTGCTCCTGACTCTTCTTTTGGCAAATCAGTTACCACGGTCTCTGCAGTTGTCAGTAAAGAAGCGACGCCAGCTGCATCAACCAAAGCAGTTCGAACGACCTAAAATGGAAAAGTACGCAATTAATTCAACAAGTTATACCCAGATTTATCCAAATTGCTAAAGGATATGTACTTACTTTGGTGGGATCAATAATCCCAGCGTCGATCATGTCGACATAAACATCATTCTGAGCGTCATAACCCATATTTGGACCCATGCCCATGACCTTTTCCACAACAACAGAGGCGTTGACCCCGGCATTATGTGCAATGGTATAACAGGGAGTTGAAAGTGCACGCAAAACTATTTGAACACCTAGAAACACAAAACCGAACCATATGATTAATTGAAAACCACATAATAGCAAAAAACCTAATACACACACGTACAAATATAATAAGATAAGCAAACATTTAAAAATTTCAAAGTATATCCAGTGCGCATAAATCGATCTAATGAATATATTACGAAGCTACATTGCATCACGCTAGGACACTAAGCAATAAAGACACTACAAAGAAACACATCTCACACTTACAAGCCTACAGCTCGACCATTATGTTGTTTCATTATACCCAAACAACCACTATTACAAATGGCTGCATCAGGGTTTTAATGATAATCTGTTTACGGTTCGTTTGACACACGACTTCGCAGTCATGCAACACTCAAACCGATTAAAGAAATTTATATAGCTGTACGCTTAACATCATTAAGCAATTTAGACACCCTTAAATGTAGGCTTCACTTTGACCACAAGGGAAACCTTGTGGCTTCGATATGAGCCGAAAACACCGTCTATGTATATTTGAACAGAACAGTACTGGGAGTGAACGCACCCACTGAGTTGATTACTAGCAAACATTAATACTTTGTAACATACTTTACTGTACTACCGTGAAAAAAATACAGACAACCCAACTCATACGAAACTATTAGTCAGATGCATTTGTTGCACAACTACGAATACAAGGCGCTGGCTGAGCAATCTTGATGTTTGGTCTGACGACATGTAGCTCTTCAGCTACAAACCAATTATCACATTGTTTCATTATACCCAAACAACCACTATTACAAATGGCTGCATCAGGGTTTTAATGATAATCTGTTTACGGTTCGTTTGACACACGACTTCGCAGTCATACAACACTCAAACCGATTAAAGAAATTTATATAGGTGTGCGCTTAACATCATTAAGCAATTTAGACACCCTTAAATGTAGGCTTCACTTTGACCACAAGGGAAACCTTGTGGCTTCGATATGAGCCGAAAACACCGTCTATGTATATTTGAACAGAACAGTACTGGGAGTGAACGCACCCACTGAGTTGATTACTAGCAAACATTAATACTTTGTAACATACTTTACTGTACTACCGTGAAAAAAATACAGACAACCCAACTCATACGAAACTATTAGTCAGATGCATTTGTTGCACAACTACGAATACAAGGCGCTGGCTGAGCAATCTTGATGTTTGGTCTGACGACATGTAGCTCTTCAGCTACAAACCTACAGACCAATTATCACATTGTTTCATTATACCCAAACAACCACTATTACAAATGGCTGCATCAGGGTTTTAATGATAATCTGTTTACGGTTCGTTTGACACACGACTTCGCAGTCATGCAACACTCAAACCGATTAAAGACATTCATATAAATGTGCGCTTAACACCTTGTGAGCTAGAAACATTATTACATTTTAACAGATTGGCATTGGCAACGAGCAGAGAAACATCGAGAACAATACGAAAAACTGGACGGCTAAACAAATCTAGACAATAAAGTAACGAATCCAACCTTTCATCTTACTGACTCGTAATCTCCTTGCCATGAGTTTACGAAGACTACTTCGTAAGTGCTTAAGCTAGACCTATGTACTTCTCGTCACCAAGTAGTTGTCGGTTTCTTAGTTGTCAACATATCAGCAATTAAGAAAACCATTCACTAACCTGTGCGTTGATCTTCGTTTTTGGTTTCCAGCGATTTTAAGATTGGAATACAACGAAGCAAAGCAGTACCACCACCGGGAACTATACCTTCCTCAATCGCTGCTCGTGTTGCGTTAAGTGCGTCGGTGTACCGATCTTTCTTTTCACTGACTTCTACCTCACTACTTCCACCAACCTTGATAACTGCAACACCGTTAGACAGCTTGGCTAGACGCTCATGCATCTTTTCTTTCTCATACTCACTGTTAGAAGCTTCCATTTCTTCTTTGATTTGAGCGATACGTTTGTCGACATCCGTTTTACTTCCACGACCACGCATCAACAGACAATCGTCTTTAGTTACTACGACCTCAGCTACACGTCCTAAATCTTGCAGTTGTACATCTTCCAACTTGTACAAATCTGCTTCATCGCCGAACACCTAGACAAAGTAGAAATAGAAACATTAGTTTCTATGTCAACCAAAGATCTAGAAAATGTAACATGAAAAGAACTTACCATCCCACCAGTCGCCACTGCCATGTCTTTAAGAGTATTTTTACGGTTGTCTCCGAAACCCGGAGCTTTTACTGCACAAACTTGTAGACCGAGTTTTAGACGGTTTAGCACAAGAGCTGTGAGAGCCTCACCCTCGACATCTTCAGCGATTATGAGTAGTGGTCGCTTTTGTTGATGACACAATTCAAGAGCTGGCAATAATGTTTGGATGCTATTAATCTTCTTCTCTGAAAACAATACAAAAGCATCTTGGAACTCGCACCGAGCCCCCTTTTCAGTGTTGAGGAAGTACGGGGAAATGTAGCCACGATCAAATTTCATGCCCTCGATGAACTCCAGCTCATCATGCAGAGTTTTCCCGTCCTAATTTGTTCAAGTAGATTAAAATTGTACCTACCTTAACAGTTATCGTACCGTCATTCCCAACCTTCTTCATAGCAGTAGCAATTAGATCACCAATCGCTTTGTCACCGTTGGCTGATATTGTTGCGACTTGTGCTATTTCCTCTGGAGTTGATATTGGCTTTGACAAAGACTTGAGCTCTTTAACGACAGCATCAACGGCAGACATAACACCTCTTCGAAACTCAATGGGATTTGCACCCTTGCTGATTTTTTCAAACCCTTCTTTAGCTATCGCTCGGGCCAAAACTGTAGCTGTTGTCGTGCCATCTCCAGCCTCTTCATTAGTGTTGTTCGCAACATCCTGTACCAATTTGGCTCCAATATTCTGAAACTTATCCTTCAGCTCAATGCCTTTAGCAACTGTTACACCATCTTTGGTAATTTTGGGAGATTTCCACGAGCTTTCTATTATAACGTTACGACCTTTAGGGCCCATGGTTACTGCGACAGCATCCGCGAGTATGTCGACGCCAACCAACATAGCAGATCTTGCATCAGCTCCAAATTTAACCTCCTTAGCATAAGATCTTTGAATAATTCTGTGTCTAGCAGGAGCCAATGTACCACGAAATGCAGATAACGCCCGGAACATGGTCACCGGTACAAAGCACAAAATCACGCCGTTAATGTCTGGAACGTCCGAGAAGCAACAAGCTACTAAAGAAGCATTAAAACAAATACACTACATTGAACAATTTAAGCTTGTTCCAATATCTGACACTTTTGTGGCCAGCCTTTGTAAACCAGTTTGCTTTTTCCTCCTTGCTTCTATTTGTTTTAATATGTTTTCAAATTCTTAAAACCGTCTAATAAGCGTTAGTTTAGCCCATCAACTGTTATAGTTTCTGTCAGTTTGATAGTTATTTTGTGTATTTGTATATCATGTACTTCGAGTGTGAGTTTGTTGCAGAGTAGTAAAGTTTTCGAGATCCTCGGCTATCATATGGCCATTCGAGGAGTCCCTCTCTCGCAACGTGGATAATAAGGAAGAAAATTCGGATGGATGAAAGCTAAGAGGAACAAATCAATCGATTAATTAGTCACACAGACAAGATCAAAATGCAACAATAGTGAACGCGGAAACAGTTGATTGAAATGGTAGGGCTCGGCCAAACAGATGCGGCTTCTTTTTTTAATCAATTGTTCTTTATATTAAATACATTATTCTTTCCCCAGCACAAACGTGTTCTTCAGAATTGCAAAAAATCATAGTGTTGATTGTCACGATACAACGAGTCAGGATAGATAAGGAGGTGACTTTCACGTGAGATCTTATAAATTAGTTAGTCACATCATGACAAATCTACAATCCTAGTATTAGGTCTGTTATTATATTGGCGAAGGTAAATGTTCTAATATCGAACTAGAATATAATCCTACAGATTAATCGTAAGCTTGCGATTAAACGAATATATGTATACAAAAATCTAGTTACTTTATAATTGTGTCACAAAATTATGTATGATGACAATCCACAAATGAGTCCTGGAGGTTATTATTCCTCCAGTCTTCATTTGAATATAACAAAGAGTGCTGAGATTACGTCACGTCTCGATGTGTTTCACTCAACATGGGAATATAGTCCCTTGGAACTATTCTTGTTTTCATGGAACAATAGCCTCGTTGTGTGAACGGTCTTAGTAACGATGACTTTTATGCGTATTCGCCCTACGATGGATATGAATGAACTCTTCAGGGCTTGCAAATTTTGATTGGTGACAAAGTCTCTCTAGTCTCCTGATCTCTATCAACATCACTGACCGGCAGGTGGTAGGTCTATATGAAGTTTTTCATTTGTTAAAAATGAAGAATAAGGATCTATCTGTATTCCAAGACTTGATTATTGTTTTTTCAAGCAGAAATGGATGGTGGCGTGGAGGGGATCCCAGGACGAGCTGTTCTCTCTCTTCGGAACTTTTTACCCGTATATACCTGAGTACTAAAGTTGTTCACTCCGAATTAAGTTTGTTGATACTGTACCGTAAAGTTACCGCACTCCACATTCTTTGAAGCGAGTGAGTCTAGTAGCAAGGTTTGTCTTAAGATATGAATTTTAAATGGTAAATCTATAAGATCACTATTAGTAAGCAGCGGAACAATATCAAACTGAGGATGGTCATAAGCTTCATATATGAATACGAAGTTCAATGAAGGATATCCTTGGTTTGAACAAAAACTTGTGGTTGTACATAACCATAAGGAGCCCACCATATAATTTATCATGTAATCGAGGATAGATCTTGATTTCTATATGACTCTTTAACTTAGTATATCCCAAAACATAATTATTGACCGAACAGATTAGAGTAGTAAAGATGATTCGTAATAAAAATACACAGCTCTTGAAGGCTATTTTGTCAGACTAATCTTTACCCGTCCACCAGAGGAATATAGGGAATGCAGCGCGAAGAACGAATATCGAAAATCAAGTTTAATCTCAAAAAACGATCAAGCGAAATTAAGGTTCATTTGATTGTGTTAAACTATATTCTCCTTTGTAGTATCTAAGGCTTTTTCGAGTCACTCGGGATCAACTATAATATCGTAAGTTCTGCGAATAACATATGCGATGATATTATGAAATTAAATTATGTCAAACAATACTAGATATTCTCAACAATGATACTAATACACCATACAGTCCGGTAAAAAACAACATATCATACAATTGATAACTGCTTGAGAACCAAAAGGATATTTCCAAAATGGTGGCATCGAATTCTTATCGGCAAAACCCGATCAAATGGCAAATTTTTACAGCAGATAGTCAAATGACAACAGGAATCAAGCTCTATGCCCCATAAACTTAAATCTAGTCAATAAAATTAAGATGAGGAGAACTTTGGATTCTAGTTATAATGTTTAAATTCCAACGACAAGTGTTTTTCGAATTTTAACCATCAGTTACTATCGATTAACGGCTGGTTACCCAGCAAGTCCCACTTTCATGAGATCAACAGAGACATTTGTACTGTATCTTAGCACTTCCCATAATTTTCTGTATCTATTCCGTTCACCTCTTAGGTGGGTGCAACCAACATATATGAGGTGGTTTCAGAGTCAAATACTAAACAAGTTTCGTAAACAGTTGTAATTAATAGTTACTGAATGTCAGCGGAATTCGATTTCTAGGCTAAAAACATCGATATACGAAACTTCAATTGATAACTTTCCCACACACTTCATCTAGGAAACATGACGACCCCAAGCCTTACGGTGCTAGTTTTCTTCACATTTTAGTAATTGAAGTGGTGGTTCAACCACAAATATTGTTCATTTGATCTTACCCTCCAGAACCACATTGGGTTTTATCCAAGAGGGATATAAGGTTGCGGTTTCTAGAAGCCCTCAACTTCATATAGATCTATTCTCGACCATCAGTTGCACGTCGCAGCGCAACCTTCATAAAGCGCGCCAACTGTGACATGGACAATATGGGTCTTACTAAAACTATCTAAATTCATATCTTACAAAATATTAACCCGGATGAGTAATTAACTATAATGAAGATTGTATATTTGGTAACAATTTGGTCTTGCCTGTAAACTGACATACCTCACGTAACAAACTGTTATTTGAGAATAAACTGTCGTTAATATTATTACTACTACAGGACTTTGACGGAGCAATCTGCGATTTAAAAAGGTAACCTCTTGACGATTAGTGTTACGTCCAAGTTTTTGCTCCTTCCCGTTATTGAAGTACGGTATGTCGATCTATTTGTAGTTTACGAACCCAAATTAACAACAGAACCAAAAATCCATATTAGGTACCAAAGTCTATTCGCAATCCACAAATAGTCGACCAAAATGTCGTTCTTCAATTTTATAGGTTCCCGGAGCAAAAAACTTCCAAATACCAAGCCAAAGACAAACAGAAACCAAAATGTCCGAAATAATGATATAAACAAACAAGTTCCGAAGCTAAGTAAAACAAATACATCCAAAAACCAGTGAAATTAATGACATTTAATATAAAGGTTTTAATCAGCCAAATGTCTTCAGTTCTCCCGTAACAATTAGCTTTAAGTCAAGTACGACGAATTGACGGTAGGAGTGGCTATATGATCCTTATTTGTATGCCCATGTGCAAATATGGAGAAAATTCCTCCATGTCTGTTCTTTCCTACGACCAGCTCTCTGCATTCCTGTAGAATGTACTGTTTCTCCTGTCGGCATCTGTATCCTCTATATTGATTCCCACTCTTCAAATTGACTGCAGTTATTACCACTACACTGTCTACAAGTTCTGAGTCATGATTGTTTCCCTTATATTGTTAAGCTTTTCAACAACCGTTTTATTCTTGTTTTACTTAAGTTTGCCTTCACGGTGCTCGAGATATTGGACTGCCACACTTTGATCGACACTTTTTGAACTAACAACCTCTATTTTGTGAGCATGTTTCCTGATTGATTTTGGGGGAGTTTGCTATTCACTGTTCAGCGATCATATTAGGAGCAAATTGAGTTGACCTACCATTCTTCCTTGAGTAGGATATTTTTCCCTGACTGATGAAAACATTTTTTCTCATTGCGGTAATTATGTTTGAGTAGTTGTCTCTTGCTGTATTATGTTCAATTATAGTTTAGATGATGCATCTGCCGCCTGATTATCCTGACGTTCGAATATCACTGACAAAATGTGATATATGGCCAGTTTGTCCAATCTCTCATGGCGAATAGTTATCGTGTATAGCTTTCAATTCATTGGTTAATTGTTAGTTATCCGTATAAACAACAAACTCTTTGACTTCTGACATCTGTCGGGTGTTCTTAATGGTTAGGTAGATTGCACATTCTCATCCGAAGTTAGAATATCCCGTCTCTCCTAAAGCGAGTCTTTTTTAGACGAGTGCAGCCAGTTTTCAGGCGTTTTCCATCAGTCGGTTAAGGATGTCCCCCAGTTCTTCATCAGAAGTCCTATGGAAATTCGGATACGTCAACGTAGATGCGTTTGTGAAACCTTGGATTTGAGGTACTGGGTACCTATCAGGTACTGTTTCACGGTTAAGGGATTTATAATCCCACACAATTGTCGATCACTCCATCTGGTGTTAGTCTTATGTACCTAGCAAACACATGTGCAACTTTAGTTTTGATTGTATGACATACCATTAGTTTACTTTTGAAAGGCTGGAAGTCTGGTTTGGTAAGGTTTGGAAATTCTGCAAGTTTGTGTTAAGTGTAGAGAAGTGATGTGATTTTCTCTCTGATTTTTATGTAACTCTCATTTTCTTTCAGCGTCGGAGGTCGTTTTTTATTATCGAATAGAAATTTACATCTCTCCAAAAAGTGTATTCGCAACAAATCCGCTACAGTGAAGATGCAGGGGAATCGCCTCCTGAACCCCAAATCAAAGTTGTCCGCCCAAATTTCGCGATTTTAGTTTTGTTGTCAGCATGAAGTGTAACTGGGATGTCTCTTGACTTTGCTTAATTTTGTTCTGAGAAGTGACACTAAAAGCAGCACCAGTATCCACCGAGAAGTTCAAACATGAATTTCTGTTTCTAAGATAAAACAAGTGACTGTTTAGGAATCCCTCCTAAGTCATTGCGACTTGGGGAGGTGTTGGTCATTTCCCATATTTTTTGGAGTTTATTTAGGCCAGTCGCATGGTTGAATTGACGCCGAACTTCCAGTGATATCAAGAGA